TGCCTACTGTCCCTGTGAGCTTGGGCAAGTCACTGACTCAATCAATCAACAATCAATTTATTAATTGCCTACCATGTGCTACGTGAGTGGCAGGGTAGAACAGTGAGTGAGGCAGGTAGCCTCAGAGTCAGGAAGACCTGAGTTCTCTGACACATACTGTCTATGTCTGTAGGCAAATCTGGTAACTTTCAGTGTCCCTAGGCAATTCTCTTAAGACTATAAATTGCAGAGAGGGTGCTGATCTTCATTAATTAGAGGAACTTCCCTCTGGGAGTCCCCTAAACTGATGAAATGATGGGTGTGATTTAAAAAAAAAAAAAAAGAACCAGAAACTGTACTGGGAGCCGTGGCTACAAAGATAAAAATGAAAAAGTCCTTGCTTCAAGAAGCTTAATGTGGGGAAATAAGTAAACAGTAAATTCAAAATAATTCGGGTACACTTGAGCTGAAATTTGAATGAAGCTAGGTATTTTAAGAGGTGAAGATGAGGAGGAAGGGCATATGGAAGACAGCCAGTGTTTTTTGCACTCACTTGGCTGCTGACTGGGTATATGAGGTAAGGAAGAGAAAAGAGTTAAAGATGACTCCAAGGTTGTGAACTTGAGTGAAGGACGTTGGCATCATTGACAGAAATCAAGGAGGAAGAGGTTTCTGGAAAAAGATGTCTTATTTTGGACCTGTTAAGTTGGAAGCATCTAATATGCAATTGGTGGGGTGGGAATGGAGCTCAAGTGGGAGAAAAGGAGGAGGAGGAGGAGACAGTGGCTGAGGCCCAACTTTGAGATATATTCAAAGAGGGTGAAGCATGGATGATGATACAGTGAAACAAATTGAAAAGGAACAGACTGACAGGAAGAAAAAATTGTCACAAAATCCCAAAGAATATGTCAGATACTATAGAAAAAGCAAGGACGACAACTGAAAAAGCCTTTGGATGTGGCAATCGTAGATCGTATAATTTTGGAGAGAGCAGTTTCAGTTAAGTAATCTCTTCAGATTACATGAGGTTGAGAGGAAGAAGTGGAAGCAGTGAGTATGGATGGCTTTTCAAAAAGTTTGGCTGTGAAAAGGAGATATAGGATGAGAGCTTAAAGTAAGGTCAAATGAGGCTTTTTTCTTTTTCTTTTTTTATTAATTTCTTTTGATTTATCAACAATCACTTCCATAAGCTTTTGAGTTTTAAATTTTTCTCCACCTTCCTTCCCAAGACAGTGCACAATCTTATATAGGCTATAGATGTACATTCCTATTAAACATATTTTCACATTAGTGATGTTGTAAGGAAGAATTAGAACCAAAAGGAGGAACCACAAGAAAGACAAAACGAAACAAAAGGAAAAAAATAGTATGCTTCGATCTGCATTCAAACTCCATAGTTCTTTCTTTGGATGTGGATAGTTTTTTCCATCATGAGACCTTTGGAGATGTCTTAGATCCTTGCATTGCTGAGAAGCGTTAAGTCTATCAATGTTAGTTGTCCCACAACGTGGCTGTTACTGTGTACAACGTTCTCCTGGTTCTTCTCTCTTCACTCAGCATCAGTTCATGCAAGTTTTTCCAGGTTTTTCTGAAGTCAGCCTGTTCATCATTTCTTATAGCACAATAGTATTCCATCACATTCATATACCACAACTTACTCAGCCATTCCCCAATTGATGGACATCCTCTCAATTTCCAATTCTTTGCCACCACAAAAAGAGCTGCCATAAATATTTTTGTACAGGTGGGTCCTTTTCCCTTTTGTATGATCTCTCTATTACTGGGTCAAAGGGCATGCACATTTTTATAGCCCTTTGGGCATAGTTCCAAATTGCTCTCCAAAATGGTTGGATCATTTCACAACTCCACCAACAATGCATTAGTGTTCAATTTTCCCACATCTTCTCCAACAGTTATCATTTTCCTGTTTTATCATGTGGCCAGTCTGATAGGTGTGACGTGGTATCTCAGAGTTGTTTTGATTTGCATTTCTCTAATTAATAGTGATTCAGAGCATTTTTTTCATGTGACTATAGATGGCTTTAATTTCTTCATCTGAGAACTGCCTGTTCATATCCTTTGACCATTTATCAATTGGAGAATGACTTGTATTCTTATAAATTCGACTTAATTATATATTTTAGAAATGAGGCCCTTATCGGAGAGACTGGTTGTAAAAAATCTTTCCCAATTTTCTACTTTCCTTCTAACTTGGTTGCATTGGCTTTGTTTGTACAAAAACTTTTCAATGTAATGTAATCAAAATTATCCATTTTGCGTTTCGTAATGTTCTGTATCTCCTGTTTGGTCATGAATTCGTCTGTTCTCCATAAATCGATAGGTAAACTATTCCTTGCTCTTCCAGTTTGCTCATAGTATCAGCCTTAAATCTAAATCATGAACCCATTTTGACTTTATCTTGGTATATGGTGTGAGATTTTGGTCTATGCCTAGTTTCTGCCATACTCTTTTCCAATTTTCCCAGCAGTTTTTGTCAAATAGTGAGTTCTTATCCCAGAAGCTGAGGTCTTTGGGTTTATCAAATAGTAGATTATTATAGTCATTGATACTGTGTCTTGCACACCTAACCTATTTCACTGATTCACTACGCTATTTCTTAGCCAGTACCAAGTAGTTTTGATGATTGCTGCTTTATAATACAATTTAAGATCTGGAATGGCTAGGCCACCTTCCCCTGTATTTCTTCTCATTAGTTCCCTTGATGTTTTGGACCTTTTGTTATTCCAAATGAATCTTATTATTTTTCCTAGCTCTATAAAATAATTTTTTAGTAGTTTGATTGGTATGGCACTGATAAGTAAATTGGCTTAGGTAGAATTGTCATTTTTATTATATTAGCTGGGCCTACCCATGAATAACTGATGTTTTTCCAATTATTTAGATCTGACTTTATTTGTGTGAAAAGTATTTTGTAATTGTGTTCATATAGTTCCTGGGTTTGTTTTGGTAGGTAGACTCCTAAATATTTTATAATGTCTACAGTAACTTTAAATGGGATTTCTCTTTGTATCTCTTGCTGTTGGGCTTTATTGGTAATATATAGAAATGCTGATGATTTATATGGGTTTATTTTATAGCCTCCAAGTAGTTTTTTACTTGACTGCAAATGAGGATTTTTTAAGAAGGATTAGGGAGACACTGACTATTTGTAGGTACAGTAGGGAAGCAGAGAGGGAGAGATTGAAAACTGGGAAGAGAGGACGATCTAGGAGGAAATCTGCTGGAGGGGATGGGATTTAGGGTACAAGTAGAGGGGTGGGCTTTTTGGACATTGGATATCTCTCAATCAGAAGAGAATGGGAGATGATGTCAAGAATAAAGGAGAAAAGGGAGCTCAAAGTGAATGCCCGCTGTTTTCTCAGTAAGGTATAAAATGTGATTTGCTAAGAGGGTAGGGTAGGGGTGAGAGGTAGTGGGACAGGTTGAGAAGAGGTTCTAACAGTCTCTGTGGGGCATGCCAGTCAATTAGACAAGTCAGACTTCTTCTACCAAAGTTCCGCAGCAAGCGAATAAGAAGGGGATATCGGGTTTGGGGGTTGGCAAACCATAAGCTGCACAAAAGGGTGAGAAATGTGAGGAGAGGACAATGCATGGTTCTAATAGTTAAACTACTGATACAAGATTAGTAAGAGAGGAAAGTGAAGCCTGAACCTATGAGAGCACTGAGAAGTGAAGGGTAAGGAGGTCTCCTCCTAAGTTTAAGAATAGGTCTGGAGCAGGTAGGTGGCACAGTGAATACAGCACAGGCCCAAGAGTCAGGAGGACCTGAGTTCAAATCCAGATTCAGACACATAACACTTACTAGCTGTGTGACTCTGGGCAAGTCACTTAACCCCAATTGCCTCAGAAAAAAAAAATAGGCCTATCCTTAGGTAGAGATAAAATGGCACGAGGTTATAGTCAGAAGTTCAGAATTCTTGACGATGGGGCTCAGTTTCATTTGTAAAAATGAAAGGGTTGCATTAGATGACCTCTGAAGTCCCTTCCAGCTCCAGATCTATGATTCTCTTCCATTACCCTCTTCTGACATCTTGCCTTTGCCCTGGCTGTTTACCATGTTTGAAGCCCTGACAGCCCGTCTCCTATGTTGCAGGCTTTCTTCAAGACTCTCGGTGTAACCTCTACCTTTTCCAGCCCTTCCCAGCTGTTAGTGCCTTCCCTCTCAGATTACCTTCCATCTAATACTTAGGTCTATTTGTTTGCATATTGTTTCCCCAATTCGTCAGCGAGCTCCTGGAGGGCAAGGACTGAGTTTCTGTTTTTCTTACTATCCTCAGCACTCAGCACAGCATTAAGCTCTAAGTTGATTAATGCTCGTTGATTGACAGATCAGAGCTTGATGACACTGGGTGGGGAGGGGTACATTTATCAGAGAACAAGAACGCTTCCATTTCTTGGGCCCCGAGGAACGTGAGTCCAAAACACGCCGAATCGCTTCAGGGTAAAAGAGCTCCAGGGAAACCGCGACGTCCCCGCCCCGACGCTCACCCTCCCATACAGCGGAAGCCCCGCCCAAGGGCCCGCCTCTCATTCAGCCCCAGGCCCGCCCCTTCCACTTTCACTGTCTTCGGGAGTCCAGTTAAGGACCTAGAAGTCACTTCCCATAACAAAGATGGCAGCAGCGGCCTCCTCTGCCCAGAGTTTCGCCGCTTGAGAGAGTCGAAGGAGGGCGGGGGCGCTGGAGCTAGAGAGACACCCGAAAGAGGAGGGGGCGGGAGTTAAGGGGAGGAAGGAAGTCCTCTTCCGCTCCATTTCTATGGCAACCCGGCTGGGTCCCGCAGCCGTCGATCAGACCCGGACTGTGTCTCTGGGCGTGGGGAAGCTGTGGGGATTTTTTTACCCCTTTTTTTGCGACAGTCGCTGTGAGGCAGTTGGGACCGCTGTCAGCTGATTTACTGCGGCGGCGGCAGCGGCAGCCACGGGTACAGCCGCTTCCAGCCCGGCAGGCGCTCGAGGACCTCGGCGGGGCAGGAGTCGGAGCCCTCCGGCCCTGCCCGCGCATCTCTCAGTCCCAGCGCCCTCTCGCTCCTCTCATTTCTCGGGGGATAGGCGGCGGGGGTCGGGCTGACCCCGCGGCGGGAGCTGAGACTGAGGAAGGTAAAGCAGCTTCGGGGTGTTTCCAGGCGCAGCCACGGGATGGATGGCCCTGCTGACCTGGGTGGGTCAGAGGTCAGAGGTCAGAAGTCCTGCCTCTGGGAGCAGCTGCCAGCTGTCACCGCCGCCCTGCGTGCCCCCTCCCCCTCCCCCAAAACCCCTCCAATTGCAGCTTTTGCCAGGTGGTTTCAGGCCGCCAGCCAAGCGCTGTGCCAGGCATCCCGGGGGCACTTCAGTTCAAAGAACATGATCGAGTCTTGTCAGGGGTCGCGTGGCTTCCTTTCTTGGGGAGTTCCACGTTTGTTTCTGGGGACTGGATGGTGCAGGGTTGTCCTTTGATATCTTGCAGTGGTTTTCGGATTCCAGGGCCTGATGCTGTTGGTTGTGATGGGGGGAGGGGGAGGACAGTCTTCAGTGGCAAGTTGAATGGTGCTGTGAGCAGTGCTGCCAGGTCTTGTGCATAGGTCTTAGTTGCCTGTTGATTGTTTGGCCTCACCTAAGGATGGATCTTTGAGATACCCTCTACCAAGATTAAGATGTTTTCCATCGTTTCATGTTTGAAATGTTTGTCGTTCTTGGCCTCATAGCCATAGAACCGAGGTGACATCTGCCATCACTGTTTCCCTTGCTGATAGACTTCAGTTTTCTCAAGTTTTTATTGCAGAACCAGTGCTGTAAAACCTTAGGTTTTTTAATTTGGGGTTTTTACCATATAGCTTATTTCCATCACTTGCTGCGCAGTAGTTCCTAGGGCAAAGATGCGGCTTGCTGGCTACCTACAGCCCTTCACAGAGGTTATGATGGAATAATTGCACACCCAGTGTTTTGGGACTTGGTAGAGTGGGGAAAAGAGTGGATCTGAAGTCACTTAACCTTTCTGTGCCTCAGTTTCCTCATCTCTAAAATGAAGGGTTTATACTAGGGTTTCTAGATGATTTCTTAGTTTCTTTCTAGCTGTAAATCTGTGATCCTGTGACTGTTGAATTTGGGTTTAGTCAGTGGCAGTGCCTATGCTCTTCTATGTGACATGGATCCAGAGTTTGCTTACTTAAATTATATTTGTGAACTTAGGATTGCAGTCACTAAAATCCAGTGTGAAAAATCTACTAAATTCTTGAAAAATTTTTATGGCTTTTTTTTTTTTTAGTGTTTTCATAAGCTATTCAGTCACAGTGTGAATATAGAAGTAAATTTTTAAATAGTTCATTGAAGTATATATTGAAAATACATTCATTATTAGAAGCTGAATATTTGTTAAAATATCCAAAGTGAAGGGATTTTTTGATGGCAGCAAATTGGAAAAAAAAAGACCGACCTGAATAGATAGAGAATTATGCAACATAATTCTCTAAATCAATTTTTACAGTATTCTTAATTGTGTAAAATTCACTTTACTATGTCTGTACATGTATTTATAGACTGCTGTAATGCATAGACACATTGAAACAAACTAGGAGCAAAATTAGTTATGCTTTTTGACACCTTAAGTTTTATGAATACTTGCTTTGGGGTTGGAAACATTCAAAGAGACCATCCTTTGCTTGTTTACTACCACTGTACTTATTTGACATCACTTAGTATCCAGGGATAGAGAGAGACTAATTTCTTTCAGTTAGCTTTTATTTTGGATAGGTGGTCATAGAAAGCATAAGATTTAGAACTAGAAGGGACCTTTAAGATCCTCTAATATAAACCACCTTGTTTAAGAATGAGGAGACTGAGACCACGAGGGTTAAGCCACTTCCATTTGGTCACCTAGATCTAGGTTCAAATCTCCATCAGGCTTACTACCTTGAGTAACCCTTTTTTTTGGGGGGGGGGGGTGAGGCAATCAGGGTTAACTGACTTGCCCAGGGTCACACAGCTAGTGAGTATCATGTATCTGAGGCCGGATTTGAACTCAGGTCCTCCTGACTCCAGAGCTGGTGCTCTATCACTGCTCCACGTAGCTGTCCCTCTTAGCTGTTTTCTTTAGGATTCATACCACATAGAGATATGAAAAGTCTCCTGTGAGTTAGGGAAATGAAAGAGTAAATCTGACCACAAAATCTCTTAGCCAAGTAGAAGCAACGTGATTTGAATGGGTTAAAAGGCCTCAATCCGGTCATCTGCCATTATCTATAACATCATTGGTTATCTGATCAGTGATTGACATTAACTGGTTAGTATGTTGGCCCTGAGTAAGCTGTGGCTCAGTGGTGAGCCTGACTTTGGAGTCTGGAAGCTCTGCTTCCAAATTCTGGATCCAGGATTTAGGAACTGGGTGATTGTGGGCATGGCATTTAAATGTCTCCCAGCTTGTTTCCTAATGTGTAAAATGGAATAATAATATCTGTGGTACCTACTTCATAGGGCTATTGCAAGATTCACATAAGAAGGTATTTAAGTTGCTTTGCAAACTCTCATGTACTATATAAAATGCTAGTTTTAAAAAAAGATTATTAATCACACTGATTGGGTAAGTGGAGTTATAGTGGATGCTAATTAGAAAATTTTGTTCTTTGTACCTTTGATAAGTATTATGTATTAATTATAGGCATGGAAAATTGTTGAATAAACCTTGACCCCTGCTGTGAAATTCAAGACCTGTGAAATCAAGGTGAATTTTCATGTATTGGTGGTTTTAATCAAAGCATATAATTTAATTTTATTTTTCTTAGAACAAGAAATGTAATTAAAACTCATTTATTCAGAGCTTTCCGTTCATATGTATATTGAGCACTGGCTAACTTTTTTTATGTTGGAACCCATTTTTTGAAAAACAAAAACCTCCCCAAAAAAGTATACATATATATTTGTATTTATGTGGTAGGGAGAAGAGCATTGGCCAAGGTCAAAGAAAATCTTGGCTCTTTAATTGAGCATGTTTATGTATTAATGTTGTGTTGAAAGAGTATCCAACTGACTTTTTTTCCTCCAACTGTAGGGAATGATTTAGAATCCAAAATAATGGTGATGAATATGTACTTTTGATGGATTCTGTATTTTCTTGTTAACTAGAGAGACAAGCAGTGGTATCTGGAGGGTACCGTCAACAAAATATTAGATTAGATATGGGTTTTTTGAGAGAGAAAAAGGCATTTTTAAGTTCCAAATAATTGACTTAAAAATGAGCTTTTGGAACACATTTTACTTGTTCATAAGCTTTCTGAATTTCTCACTTTTCTACTGCCAACTTTTAGTCCTTGTTATAATGAAATGATAGATTTATAGAGACCAAAAATTCTTTAGGAATTCAGAAAAAAAAAGCTTGTTTGGATGGACTGCAGTAATTAGGGAAGAGTGCATGTAGGAAATGTGGTTTGAGCTGGGACTTGAAAGAAATGTAGGATTTGTAGTTGCTGAGGGAATCGAGTTGGTCAGCCTAGGTCAGGGAAAAGGTGAGCATATTGTGTGAGCTTTTATAGTAGGGAGAGCCTCAGTTGCTCAGTTGTTTGTAGATTAATTGATTGAGTTGCTTTCTTTAGCAGTGGTGTGATAAGTAATAAAAGTGCCAAGGATCCCTCCAAGCACAAGAGACTTTCTGTAGTCACCTATGTACAATTTAATACAATACAATATATATTTATCAAGTATCTACTATGTGCCAGGCACTGTGCTAGGTACTAGGAGTTCAAATAAGAAAAAAAAGGAAGAAGGTCCCTGCACTCAAGGAGCTTACAATCAGATGGGGGAAGACAACACAAAAAGAAGCTGAAAAGATTGGGAAGTGGGAGGGAATGATGATGATGATGGAGTGTAATCAAAGGAGTTTAGCTATTGGGAAATGAAGAGTTGGCTGGGCTTCTGAGCCCTTCTTTAAATGCAGGCTTTGGGAAGAGTTTTTTGCTCTGCCCTCTAGCCCTTCAATAAGAGGAGCAGAGACAACTGAGGGTACTGATGAAGTGTGGGTATCAAAACTGGTGCAGTCTCAATGATGAGATGATGAGTCTCCTGATTCCTGAATTTTTTTGGGGGGAGGGGAAGGAGAAAGGGAGAGGATGAATATGGTACAGATGAATCCAAGGGACACAGCTGGTGAGCAATGAAGAGTTGTCTGGTCAACTACTGATAAGTTGGAAGTTACCACTTCCAGTACCCAGGAATGTAAAGGGAGTTCTCATTAGATTGTCCTGTGGCCATTTTCCTTAGTTCTTGCCTGATTCATTATATGCTCAGACTTTTATACCAAAAAAGTATAGTATATTATAGGAAATCCAGGGTTACACATTTTATATAGGTTGACTAATTTTAAGTAGGCAGTACAGCATAACAACTCATGCTGAGTTTCCTTCTAAAACATTCTGCCATTCTTGTGTTCTGAGCCTAGAATATCTATCCTGGTATAGTGAAAGAGCATTGGACTTGAAATCTGGGTTTCATCTTGGCTCTGTTACATTCCAGCTCTGGATGTGTAACCCAGGGCTGTTCTTCTAACACATAGACATTGGACAAAAAAATTTAATTCCTTTGAACTTCAGTCTCTTCATCTGTAAAGTTTATTCCTGGGCTCTGTGGTCTCTTGTATTCATCTCCTTTTTCTGCATCCTGTAGAGGGTAGCTTCCTTAAGTTTTCTTCCTCTGTCTATCCACTACTGATTTCAGTACCTTCCTTTTCTCTTTCACCTTTTCTTGGCTCTTTCCCTTAGAACTTGGACATCTACCATAAGCTGAATGTGCCTGACTTTAATAAAGTTCATCCTGAAGTTTTTGGCCAAAAAATGTACCAAATTAGCTAGTATACATGAACAAAAATCCAGTAGGGCCCAATCACCTGTTCACTACTGCCTATCTGTAACCGACTGCCACTTAATGTTGTGCTAAATTCCTACAAAAAGCTTCCTGATATACACCTTGCCTCTATTTTCTTAAACCCAACTGACTCTTAACCCCTTGTAGTCTGGCTTGTGACTGTACCATTTAAAGGAAACTGTTTTCCAAGGTTACCAATAATCTGTAAATTCCCAAATCCAACAGCTTCTTTTAGTTCTTATATTGTTCTATACTTATTTTCTTTCCAGGTAACTCAGGTTAATCTCAGGGTCATTTTTAACTCTTCACTCCCCCCCCCCCACCCCGGACTCCTCCCATAGCCTCTGAGTTGATGTGATGTCAAATACCTACAATGTCTCAGGTGTGTGTGCCCTTCTCTCCACTCTATAGTCATCACCATAGTTCAAGCCTCCACCACCTCTTGCCTGGACTGTTTCAGTAACCATCTAAATGGTTTCCTAGCATCCTGTGTCTCCTTTCTCCAAGATATGTTCCATATAACTGCTAAATTGTTATTCCTGAAGTACAGGTCTGATAATGTCACTTCCCTAGCCAGGAAGTTTCAGTGGCTGTGTTGTTTCTAGGATAAAAAAGGAACTACTGTTTGGCTTTTAAAGTTCTTCACAATTCAGTTCCTGCCTGTCTTTTTAGACTGATTTTTATGTTACTCCCCTTCACGCACTCTAATTTTTCAGCCAAATTGGCCCATTTGCCCTTCACCTATAGGAACTTCTGTCTCTCACCTCCGTGCTTTTGCACAGGCTGTCCCTTATGCTTGAAGTGTCCCCTTCCTTACTGCTGTCTTTTTACAATATTCAAGACTCAGCTCAAGTGCTACCTCCTATGAGAAGCCTTTTCAGATTCTAATAACTTCCACCTATTTATTTGTATCTTTCCTTCTGAAATTATGTTCATCTATTATATGTTGCTTTTCACAGTAGAATAAAAGTACTTTGAGGGCAGGACTATTTTGTTTTTGTATTTATATCCACAATGCCAGGGCCGTAGGTGCTTAAAAATACTTGTTTTACTGATTGCTTACTGGACCAGATCAATTAGTTATTGTAATTGAAGCATAATGTAATTATTAGATAATTACATTTGTATGCCCTTCTAGATAAAGATTCTTGATCTTGTGGTTATCCCTGCCTTGCTCACTTTTTTATTCATTACTTTTCCTATCTTTCTTCCCCTGATGTCCTGTATAGATTCAATTGTTGCACTTTGGGTTGGGGAGGATTTGTCATTCAATACAAATTTATCTTTATAAAGTATCTATATACGTACACATATCAATCCTATCTCTCATACTTTTTGAGATACATAATATTGGGGATTTTAGATATGCTTTGTTTATGATATGATGAAAAATAATGTTTCAGGAACATTAATTTGTCATTCTTGTAGAGAATAAATTACAGTCAGGGAGACAATTGGAAAGTTACTTCTCTGTTCTAAACTGAACTAATTATTCTTCTCAACCCCCATCTTTCCTTTTTCCTAACTTCTCTATTTCAGGCACCACCATTTACACATATTAAAGGAGATAATATTTCTAAAGAACTTAGCACACAGGGCCTGCCACATAGTAGGTGCTTAATAAATGTTTGTTACTTTTGCTTTCCCCTAGTTGCCCAGATTGCCATCTTCAACTCATCCTCTCTGATCTCCCCCCATTAGCTCCCCCCACATCTAATCAGTTGCCAAGTCCTGTTTGCAACACTTCTAATATATGTTGCCTTTTCTCTTCTGATAACTGCCACCATCCTGATATAGACCCTTGTTACTTCTTGCCTGGACTATTGCAATTGCCTGCTGATTGGTCTCCTGGCATCAGTATCTCACTGCTCTAGCCCACCAGCTGTCAAATTGATCTTTTTAAAGTACAGGTCTAATCAAGTTTGAGCCCCCCCATTGCCCCCATTCAGTAAATTCCAGTGGATCCTTTTTACCTCCAGGAATCAATACAAAACTTCTATTGATTTTAAAAAACCCTTCACGACCTGGCCTCTTCCTGCCTTTCCAATCTTTTCAGCTTGTGGAGATGATGAGGGAGCACATTCCGAGCACTGAGAAAAGGTTGGAGACCAGCTGGTAGCTGCAGTAAACTGGAACTTTGTGAAGGTGAGGGGGAGTAAGGCTGGAATAAGGTAAGATGGGTAGACTGGAACCAGTTTGTAGGAGGATCCTAAAGGCCAGTCTTTTTTGTTCTTTAAAAATATATGTTTTTCTTTTTGAGCTTTTGTTCTTCTAGATGAATTTTGCTATTTAGTTCTATGAAGTAAATTTTTAGCAATTTGGTATGGCGTGGAATCTATAGATTAATTTAGGTAGTATTGTCATTTTTATCATATTAACATTTTCCAACCATGAGCTATTAATATCACTGCACTTATTTTAATCTGTTTTAAATTTTGTAAAGAATGTTTTGTAGTTATTATAACTCCTGTGTATGTTTTGGTAGCTGGACACCCAGATTTTTTTTATAGTTATTTTGAATAGTATAGTATTTCTTTTTCTGTCTCTTCCTGCTAGATTTCATTGGTACTATGTAGAAAGGTGGATGATTTTTGTGGGTTTCTTTCCTATCTTGTTATTTACTGAAGTCATTATTTTAATTTACTTTTAGCTGAATCTTTGCAGTTCTTCTGGAGGAGAAGGTGAGGCTGGTAACTTTGCATAGCCCTCCCTCACTTAAATCCTATTCACTTGCATATCTTGACATCACTTCCCTGAAGTCATGGTCCTCCTAGAGAACAAAGATCAAACATCTTCTTGCCTACAGGCAGCACTAATTTTGTTTCCTCTTTGCTTATGCTTATTCCATTAACTTTTTTTTTTTTGCCTTGTTGATGTAATTCTAATTTCCAGAATAATATCAAATAATTGTAGCAGCAGTACTTCAGGAGAGAAATTGAGGCAGGCAGAACCTTTGTGGGATACAGATGTTCTAGGCAGTGACCATAACATGTCTTCTGAAAAGAAGCAGTCAGAATAGTAGGAGGAGAACTAGAAGAGAGAAGTGTTAGGGAAGCCAAGTGAGGCAAGTTGATTGAAGAGGGGGAGGGTTTTTTGATAAATCTGTAGAAGGGCAGATAGCTGATGTGGAGGTGAAAAATGACCATTGGATTTTGCAATTGAGAAATCATTGTAGACCTTGGAAAGCGTAGTTTCAGTAGAGTGGTAGAAATGGAAAGCAAATTGCAGAGGGTTAAGTACAGTTGATGAAGAAGCAGAGGCAGTGAAGAGAGACTACTTTTTCTAAAGTTTGCCAGGAAGAGGGTAGAGAGAGAGCAGACAGTAGGTTGAGGTTATGGTAGGGTCAGTAAAGTGACCTGGGTAACAAGCATAATTAAAAACAAAATAAATCAAATAAAGATCATTTTAAAGCTTAGAACTCAGGTGTAGAAACTCAATTATATATTGTTTTATTGATGCTTTAAAAAAAAACAAACTCATTGTCTTTTTCCAATAAAACTCTTCTAGCAGCAGAGAATAGGTAAGCAAAAGAAACAAACACATCGGCCATATTTGACAACCTTATTTTCTACTTCAGATGTAAATTGTTCTTGTTTCCTCGTATTTCACTTTGCATTGCTTCATAAAATACTTGTCAGGTTTCTCTGAATTATTTGTTGTTTCTTACAGCTCAATATTTCATTACATTTATATATCACAATTCCTTCAACCACTTCCCATTTTATGGACACTCATTTCATTTCTGTTTCTTCCTACCACAAAAAATCCTGCCTTGAGGTTTTTTTTGTTTTGTTTTTTAATACATGGGACCTTTTCTCTACCTTCAGTTTGTGTATGCCCAATGGTATCACTGGGTCAAAACTAATTTGGTGACTTCAGATAAAATTCTGAATCATTTTCTAGATGGTTAACTCAATTCATAACTCAGCAACAGTTCACTGGGGAGCCCGTCTTTATTCTTTCCATAGCCCTTCAAGATACATTTTCATTGTTTGTCATCCTTGTCAGTTTAGGTATGAAGTGAAATCTCAGAGTTGTTTTAATTTTTATTTATCTTAATGCTGATTTATGTGGTATACTGGTTAGAGAGCTGGCCTTGATGTTCTACCTATTCTTTCTGTGACCTTGAGCCAGTCAATTAATCTGGCTAATCCCCAGGTTCCTTATTAAAATGTGGGAGGCAGCTGGATAGTTTGAGCATCTAACATTTCTTCCACCTCTAGCTCCTATAACATTTTGATCTTCAGATATTTGAAGTTATATGGAAGAAGTATATTTGTTATATATACTTTGAGAGATCAGTATTGCCTGGAATAATGGCTCAATAAAAGGAAGGTATTTTTAATAACTAGGACTGTCTAACATTCTAATGACTGCCTTATGAAGTGGTGAAATATTCAGGCAGAATCTGGTTGACAGTTTTGTCTAGGTTATCATAAAGGACCTTTTTGTATAGTTTGGGAGGTTGCAGTAAATAACCTTTCAGATGCTGAGATTCTATATCTTATTTCTGAAAGTAAAGTGTGTAAAATGTTTAATTATGAAATTCCTGGTTAGTTTCTCATAAATTGTAACACTTCACGACCTAGGTAATACAGGTCTTAACCATCTTGTCTTGCACTTTGCATTGCTGTTAACAAATTTCTGTGTCAATCAGTCAACAAGTATTTATTGAGCACCTAGTATGTGTCAGACACTGTGCTAAATTCTCTGGATACAGGTGCAAAGGGAATGAGATGATTTCTGCTAGCATGGAACTTATACTGGGGAGACAACAAGTACACATAAAACCTATACAGCATACATATAAAGCCAGCATGTAGACTAAGAACAAGGTAGTTTGGGAGGGTGGGCACTAGTATCTGAGGGGGATCAGGTGAGGCTTCATGCAGAAGGTGGGTCCTGAGCTGCATCTTAACGGAAGAGTTGGACTCTCTGAATCAGAAATAAAGAGGGAATGCATGCTAGATATGTGGGACAATCAGTACAGACATGTTGAGAGAGAGATGGAGTTTGATGAATGAGGAATAGAGAGAAGGCCAGCCTGACTGGATTGCAGAGGATGGGAGGGAGAGTAATGTCCAATGAGGCTGGAAAGATAGTGTAGTGTTTTAAAAGCTAAACAGAGGAATATATGTTATCCTAGAGGTTATAGGAAACCACTGAAGTTGATTCAGTAGGGGAGTCACATGGTTAGATTTATGCTTAAGGAAAATTAATCTTACTGCATAGGTTCTCATGGATTTAATTATCATCTCTATGCCAATGATTCTCAGATCTACTTATCCAGCCCTAACCTCTTTCCTGGCCTCTGGTAAGAAATAGCAACCTTTAGGTCAAGCACCACTTTAGGGTGTGGTTGTCCTTCTTTCATTCCTTGAAACATCCTTTTCTAAATTAGGTAATCTTGTCAGTTGTGACAATCTGCATGTGTTCTTAAATCTTGATTCTTTTTTGCAGTCTGAGAGGAGTGAACAAATTAGTAGAATTTGGAGATTGTTAGTACAGAATGAAAATAGTACTACTTTCATCTTGGGTTAAGCATAAGTTGCAACTTCCTGGGGTACAGGAATCCTTTGTGATCATGCTTTCATTCCTTCAAGTAGAAGTTAACTGCTTTTTAAAATCTGGTTTCTTATTATTTCATTATTCTTTCTTCCATACTATCCATCCTACCAACTATTCTTTATTACTTTTTTGTTCCCTCTGTCTATGGCAGCCCATTCCCCTTGATAGCAGCCTTTTCTTTATCTGTCTTCAAATGCCAGATCATCATAGGAAATGAAAGAGCTTAAAAAAAAATCTTCAGTAATCACTATTCACTTAAAATAGAATTCATTTATTCATGGTAGAAAAATATATTTTGGAGTCTGTGACAAGAGGAAGTATTATTTGATTGATTAATGTAGCCAGGGAAAACTTTTTGATCTCTCTTAATGCCTGAATGAGATGGAAAAACATGTTCACTATATTCTTCAATTGGAAATATATTATATCATTAACTACAAGTACTGTGCAGTATTCTTTTTCTCCTTAACAAGTATTACTATAATATATTTTTCTGATAGTAACTCTAGTTTTGTGAAATCGTATTTCTTAGTTCTGGGGCTCAAGGAAATAGTTCTTTTAGATTATAGGCATTGAATTTATGGTTAACTGAAATGGAAAAGTATATATGTTTTTAAACATCTTTTAAACTTGATAATTTTTCAGAAGCTTGATTTTTTCATTTTTGTCTTATTAAAGCTATTTGAGTTTCTTTTTTTTTGGATTCCAGTATCTTTTTTTTTTGAGCCTAGTTGTTATTGAAATGAAAGTAGATCCACAATGTCAGCTTGATTTCTAGATTTCTAGATATAGAAAAAAGTGTGTTGTTAATTATCTTGCTAATATACTTTTGAGTATCTAAAGAAGAGCCCAAACTTTCCAAAACATCTGAACAATGGGTCTGGCCTTACTCCAATATTCTGGTGTATCTATGATGTTCTTAATGTGAATCTTCTAGTGGTATAGATCCTGGCCCATTCATACTGTCCCATGTTTACCATGGGACATAAGCTTAGTGTACTCAGGGATTTCCCATTCTCTTGAAATTGTGTAGATAGCATGGGAATACCTGGACTCCAGTATCTTTATGTTCATCTAGAGTTCGCATATTTACGGGAATATTGATGATACTGTATGGAGAAACCTTGGATAATAGTGCCTACCTAGTGACATTTTCTAATACTATTGTCAATTCATTATCACCAATGTCAGATAACTCCATTGTAATATCAAGAGTCAAACTGCAACAGTGTTTCTTTGGAACTAATTGCTACTTATTTTTTTTTAAAAATAATTAATTACAGAGACAGTGAATGATGTTGAATGAGGTATTCCTGTGTTTCCATCTAACTGGTAGACATATAGGTAGCAATATGGCCTAAAAAAAGTCTTTCACAGAGGATCTATCTACTTTGTGGTAGACCTTCTAGATCACTTGAAAGAGAATGGAATAAACAGTGATATAACACCTACTATGTGCTAGGCACTGTACTAATAAGTACTTTTTACAAGTATTATCTCATTTAATTGTCATAACAACCTTTTGAAGTAGTTGTTATTATCTGAGTTTTACAGTTGAGGAAACTGAGGCAAACAGAGGTTAAATAACAGGGTCAAATAGGTA